TTTAGGTGTCAGCTCCACATGAGAAGCCCATCCAGACACAAAAGCTTACATACTAACCTCATAGCGCTTCTCTGTTTGGGCCAAACAGATCTAAGTGGAGGACCAGAGCTCCGTTAGAGATCGAGAGGACGCTCTGGTGATGGTAGAATTCACCAGCAGCTCGTTTACGAGCCCTCAGAGGACTGCAGACTCAAACACTTGTGTTTGACTAGCATGCTCACGTTTGTACAGCAGTTAGGTGACAACACTGATCCTCGAGAAGGTTTCAGCACTGCTTTTGACTCCTGTGAGGTTGTGATGAGCACAAGATGTTGGATAAAATATGATACAGCATTACTGAACTGCGATGGGAAAAACTTTTATGACCATATAGTTTCACTTTGTAGTTCTACAGTTACAGACTGTAGTCCATCTGTTTCTCTGATACTTTGTTAGCCCCCTTTTACCCTGTTCTTCAGTGGTCAGGACCCCCATGGACCCTCACAGAGCAGGTACTATTTGGGTGGGGGATCACTCTCAGCACTGCAGTAACACTGACATGGTGGTGGTGTGTTAGCGTGTGTTGTGCTGGTGCGAGTGGATCAGACACAGCGGTGCTGCTGGAGTTTTTAAACACTGTGTCCACTCACTGTCCACTCTATTAGACACTCCTACCTTGCTGGTCCACCTTGTAGATGTAAAGTCAGAGACGATAGCTCATCTGCTGCTGCACAGTTTGTGGTGGTCATCCTCTACTCCTTCATCAGTGGTCAAGTCAAGTCAAATTTATTTGTATAGTGCTTTTTACAACTGATGTTGTCACAAAGCAGCTTCACAGGAATCCATTAAAGACAAAGTTTTAACATGAAATGTAAATCCTCCAGGTGAGCAAGCCAGGAAAAACTCCCTCAGAGCTGAGGAAGAAACCTTGGGAGGAACCAAGGCTCACATGGAGGGACCCATCCTCCTCTGGTCAAACTACCTACAAAATTATTATACTACTAATATTAATAGTAGTAGTAGCTAGGAGTCCATGAAAACGTCAATGTAGAGTGGGAGTGGGCAGCTAGTCCAGGTCAAGTGGTGGTAGCTGGGCAAGTGGCGGCAACTGGGGCGTGGGCAACTGGTCTGAAGCGGATAGCAGGAGAGCTCCACAGACAATCATCCATCAGTGTCCGTCCGGCAGGTGGGCAGTCGTTTACTCAGTGGTCACAGGATGCTGCCCACAGGATGCTGTTGGCTGGCTATTTTTGGTTCTCAGTCCAGCAGCGACACGGAGGTGTTTGATCCACTCGTACCAGCACAACACACACTAACACACCACCACCACATCAGTGTTACTGCAGTGCTGAGAATGATCCACCACCCAAATAGTACCTGCTCTGTGAGGGTCCATGGGGGTCCTGACCACTGAAGAACAGGGTAAAAGGGGGCTAACAAAGTATCAGAGAAACAGATGGACTACAGTCTGTAACTGTAGAACTACAAAGTGCACCTATATAGTAAGTGGAGCTGATAAAATGGACAATGAGTGTAGAAACAAGGAGGTGGTCAGAATGTTATGCCTGATCGGTATATTAGTCAAAAGTGTATATATATTACAAACTTGACACAAATATATGGAAATATTGGGAAATATGCAAATATCATTAAAGATAACACTTCACTGATCCTTGTTGGGAAATATGCAAATATGCATTGGATAAAAAATGAACTGTTATTGATACACAGTGTGGTATAAATGAAGTACTTGGAACAAAAACCCAAGAAGCCCAAAACAACGATTTCTCCAAATTGCTGCTCCAATAGACGATTTCACCCAGAAACTCTCACAATTCCAGAACAGTCTGTAAGACGTTTGTTGAATTAGCTGTGTACATGATCTGGAGGTCAAAGGTCACGCTGGTATTCAAGGCCTGTGAAAGCTCTGCACGGCGGGGTACCAGAGCCTCCAGCAGCTCCTCATTGCTCCACAGCAAAGCCGCAATAAAGCCACTAAACTGTAGCTAATTAGCGAATCCTTGCAGCTGGAAGAAGGTCTAGTTCATGCGCTGCTCGGAGGCCTTGAAGTTGGCGATCGTTTGTGTCAGTGTGCTAATACCCAGAATGCACTAGACAAACAGACGCTGGCCAAGCAGACCAAGGACTCCTAATCCTGCTCTGTTTACTCACACGAGGAGGAGGAGCGGCTGAGCCGGTGTGGGAAAAACAATATCTCTGGTGTGGATTCAGGCGGTACGGAGGCCCAGGGACGGGGGGACGGGGGTTTGGGGGGGGCGGCCTCTTTCTTATTCATTGATGCCATTCTCCTCCGGCTGAATTCAGCTCAGGGTGAGGGGTCAGTTCGGATTCCAGGGGTTTTCACTCAGTCAGGAGCTTCTTACGGGGTCAGGGCCGTGAGCCTCTGAGTTCAGAGACGCTTAATTCAAAATGATGCTGTTTAAAGGAATAGTTCAGCAAAAATTCAAATTTCTACAACTTTCCTTTTTCGTTTTTGTTCCCAAGACGTGCCTGGAGTCACGATAGTGAAATTTTAGCTTTAATTGTCAAATAAATAATTGCGATTGATTATTTAATTGTTTTTGTTCGTTCACAAGCCTAAATTAACTTATAAGCCATCTTGCTTCCTAAATATACCCTTAAAATGACGGTTCTTCAAAGGTTCTTTAGTAGAGAAAATGGTTCTAAACAGAACCAGGAACACTTTACCTGATTAAAGAGTTCTTTGCATGATGAATGGGTTCTTCAGATTAATTGAAATTGTGTTGTAGATGGTTCTATATAGAACTTTTTAGAAAAGGGTTCTATGTAGCACCAAAAACGGTTCTTTTATTGTTACAAACTTGACATTGTAACAATAGAAGAACCCTTCTGGTGCTACATAGAACCATTTTCAAAACAGCTCTTAAAACAGATGGTTCTTCAGTTGTTCTTTAGTAAGGAAAATGGTTCTATATAGAACCGTGAACACTCAAATAACGCTTTGCATGATTAAAGGGTTCTTTGCCTGGTGAAATGGGTCTTCAGATTGATGGAGAATGCGCTGTAGATGGCTCTATTTAGAACCTTTTTGAAAATGGTTCTATATAGCACCAAAAGGGGTGTTCTATTGTCACAATGTCAAGTTTGTAACAATGGAAGAACCCTTTTTGGTGCTATCTAGAAACATTTTCAAAACAGCTCCTAAAACAGATGGTTCTTCAAGGGTTCTTTAGTGAAGAAAATGGTTCTATATAGAACCATGAACACTGAAAGAACCCTTTGCATGGTGAAATGGTTCTTCAGTCTGATGGAGAATGTGCTTCTCCATCTGAATCTTTTTGAAAAGGGTTCTATATAGCACCAGAAGGGTTCTGCTATTGTTATGATGTCAAGTTTGTATACAATAAAAGAACCCTTTTGGGTGCTAAATAGAACCCTTTTCAAGAAGATTCCAAATAGAACCATGTAAAACACACTTTCAATAAATCTGAAGAACGTCATCACCATGCAAAGAACCATTTAAGCATTAGAAAGGTTCTTTGAGTGTTCATGGTTCTATATAGAACCATTTTCTTAACTAAAGAACCTTAAAGAATCTTTTCTAAGTGTGTATGTTTGCTCAAATAGAAGTCTGCAGTCACACAGAGTCCTGTGTCGAGTCGAGTAAAGCTACGTTGTTCTTGAGAGTGAAAATGTAAACAAAACAGTGTTTGTTTCAGAGTCTGCAAAAACCTTAGAATTAGCCACAAATAAACAAACAGGCTCGCACTACGAGTTAGAGCACCATGTTAGGCTGCGTTCACATTACCAGGCTGAAGTGGCACAAATCTGATTTATTCCCCTAATGTGACTCAGATCTGATGTGTGGACACACAAATCTGATCTTTTCAAATCCGACCTGAGTCACTTTAGCTACGCTCACACTACAAGTCTCGTTGCTCAAATCCGATCTCTCTGACTCGATGATTCACACTCGTTTAGGTAATTGATTCAAATCTGTCATTAATGTGACGAACCGGCGTCCTGAAATGACCCTCATGAGCTCATCCTACTCAGTAACGTCACGTGAGTGAATCACTGCATCATCAGCACAAACTAACGAGCAGAACGAGCTTCGCTGAGAAGATCATTAACTCTGATCAGCTCTCAGCTTCATTATTAGAGCGAGACGAAGGAGAAAAAGGTGAGATGAGCTGCTTTTCCACCGCTTACAGGCTTTAACTTCTGTTCGGCGCTGCTGCCATGGTAACGCTGAATGATGGCGCAGTGGAAAAAACACATGAATTCCGATCTGATCTGAGCGTCACATTAAGGTCGCATGACCACGAATTGGATACGTATCCGATCTAGGATCATTCTCAGCACTGCAGTAATACTGACGTGGTGGTGTGCAGCAGCAGATGAGCTATCGTCTCTGACTTTACATCTATGATGGTGGACTGACAAGGTAGGAGTGTCTAATAGAGTGGACAGTGAGTGGACACAGTGTTTAAAAACTCCAGCAGCACTGCTGTGACTGATCCACTCGTACCAGCGCAACACACACTAACACACCACCACCACGTCAGTGTTACTGCAGTGCTGAGAATGATCCACCACACAAATAGTACCTGCTCTGTGAGGGTCCATGGGGGTCCTGACCACTGAAGAACAGGGTAACAAAGTATCAGAGAAACAGATGGACTACAGTCTGTAACTGTAGAACTACAAAGTGCACCTATATAGTAAGTGGAGCTGATAAAGTGGACAATGAGCGTAGAAACAAGGAGGTGGTCAGAATGTTATCGGTGTAGTTCTGTAGTTTTTAGTACCGCAGTTACAGGCCAGTTTGCAGTCTTGTAGAATTAAAAGTTAATTTAAATGTTTTTTAATTCCTTTTTTATTGCACTGTTTACCTGTTTACTATTTCCATTCCCTGTCTGAACGTTTTACTGCACTGAACTGCATTCTGACCGAAATACCACAGTTTATTATTCATAAACAAAGCACTGGAGGAACATTTCATGTGTAAGGCTGTCTCTGCTGCCCTCTGTCTCCAGGCCCAATGTGTGCGGTTCCAGATGCTGCCCTGGATGGATAGTCCAGCTCAAGACAAAGCAGTGTACGAAACGTGAGTTATTAAAAATGACCTTGTTTATAATCATATTTATAACATAATGTGCCCCCGTGTCTTGCGATACATATTGCCGAGCAATGTTTTCTTGACTTCATACAGTCTTGTTCCTATTTAGTTCAGGGTTTGACTGTAAATGTCTGCTGACACAAACCAGAACAGAGCTGAATTAAACAAGATGGGTCCAGATAAGAGACCAGGCCGGAGAGGGCAGCACTGCATGGCTCAGGCCTCCTTATTGTTTATAAGACTGGAGTGTTGAGTGACGTGAGGCCGTGACTGTGTGGATGAAGCTAATGGACCACACCGCGAGCGCCGTCTCCTGCTTTCTCTCAGTCTCACCGAAATTTCAGAGCTGTAAAGAGCAAAGTGCTTCTTGCTTATGCGACTATAAATGTGGGAAGTGGTTTGAAAAATGGACTTAATTTGACACACTTGGAGTTAGGGCTGCTCGATTAGGGCAGAAATCATAATCATGATTATCTGGGTCAATAATAAGATCACAATTTTTTTTTTCAGTTTAAAATTTTTCCAATTTTCTCCCCAATTTAGTCGTATCCAGTTTTGGGAAACTGGGCTCAGAACTGTTGTTTTTAGCTCATGCGTTCATCTGACAGGAGGGAAATACATGGTGTGTCTTTCTAATCTGCTTTCTTGAAGGGCAGCAGTGGCATTTCCCCCCATCTGACAAACATCTCACTCTCGTGTTGACCCGGGAGGACCCAGCAGGCTTGGCCTATATCACATCTGCACTGACCGCTCAGCTCTACGCTCATAATCCTCACCTTCTCCTAATCTCTGTTTAGCTGGATTTAACCGGTTAATCGCCACACGCCTGACCCCAGGGGATTTAAAGGGCCAGCAGTATTGCAAACATCTCAGCATGGGTCCGTCTGGAGTGGACCGTACAAACACAATGACGGGGAAAAGTCTTTGATGAGCTTTTTCAGCGTGTACAAAATGTTTGATGTTATCTAAAGGAGCAGTTCAGCAAAAATATCAAATTTGCACAATTTCCGCCTTACCTAAAAGGTGGTTGACCAGCCAAGACATGTTTGCTTCTTTAGGTTTTAGCACTGGAGCTGCAAAGCTAATTTAAAGCTAACAAATAATGAAAGCTTATATCCCACCGATTAGCACTGTGCTAAGTGCATGCCTACACACTCGCCTCCAAGCATGTGGAGGTGTTTAGTGTCTGTAATAGACTTGATTATGTGGTTTCTGACTCTGTATGACTCACTGTTATCTATAAACATTAAAACTACAATATGTCACATAACTAAAAACAGTGGTCAAGTTCAGGCTTTGTGATTATTGTTACTGCTGTTCAAAACAGTCTTGGGGGAGTCGTGGGCTGGAGGTTAAGGAACCAGCCCAGTGACCGGAAGGTCGCCGGCTCGATACCCTGAGTCCGACAGTACGTGACTGAGGTGCCCTTGAGCAAGACACCTAACCCCCAGCTGCTCTATGGGTGCTGTGGATAGGCCTGCCCAACACTCCGGGCCAGTGTGCTCTCTACCCCCAGTGTGTGTTCACTAGTGTGTGTGTGGTGTTTCAGTGTACGGATGGGGTTAAATGCAGTGGTGAAATTTCCCCATTGTGGGACTAAAAAAGGGTCTCTTAATCTTAAAACAGTACAACATGGTTTTGTCCATTTTAAGGGAAAAGCTGTGTTGCGCTGCCCTAACTGGCAGACTTGACTTCAAAGCAAGTTTATTTATAGAGCAAAAAATCATATTAAAATTTAATTACACAGTTTTTTCCCCCTAAAATGGACAAAAGCGTGTTGTATTGTTATCAAGAGTAGTAGCAACGATTATGAAGCCTGAGTTTAGCCGCTTTTCCACTGCATGCTAACGGCTCAACTCAACTTGACTCTACTCGACTTTTTTGGTTTTCCAGGCAAAATCGGTACTGTTTTTGGTACCACCTCTGTCAGTGTTCCAAATGAGCTGAGCCAGTACCAAAAGGTGACGTAAAAGCGCTGCAGACACACATGCTAACGTTGAGCAGCCAGGATCGTCTCATCGTCTGAGCTCTGGTGTAGTTTTCATCAGAGTCAGTTTTCAAAGTCACATAACTAAAAAGTCAAATTCAGGCTTCATAATTGTTGCTACTGGTGTTTATAACAATACAACATGCTTTTGCTTATTTTAAGGGAAAAAACTAGTAAATTAGATTTTTTTTTCCACCAGAACTCTCTTTAAGATCTGTGCTGCACTGCCCTAACTGGCAGATTTGACTCCAAGTGTGTCAGATTTGGTTTATTTTTTAAGAATTTAAAGCAAGTTTATTTATACAGCACCTTTCATACACTGTGGTCATGTGAAATGCTTTGCAAACGAGAAAATACAAAGATAATTTAAGTTAAAAATGAAAAAGATGTAGCATAGAAATTGCATAAGCAAAAATGCTTTTCTCTCAATGGTTCTGAAACTTTGGTCAGTGTGGAGGTGTTCAGTCTCTCTAATAGACTTGGTTATGTGGTTTCTGACACTGTATTTTTTTTTTTAGCTGCTATTGTGGTAGCCGCTATTCTTCCTGGGGTCCAGTAGACATAAAATACATAAAGAAATAGTGTGGTAACAATTAACAAAACAAGTCAGACAAAACACAAGAGTGAAAAATCAAGAAAAACAAAAGAGGACTGAGAGAAAACAAAAAAAGGAAACTGAAAAATAAAAAGTAGGCAATGAACCATAATATAAGAACGACAACTGAAAACTGAAAAAGCACATAGAAGGAAAAGATCATGGGTATATTTACAAAAACTTGACTGTATTCTGGTGAATATCTACATGCCTGCCTACTCCACCATAGTGTTGTTCCAGCTGTCAAGGACCGATCAACTTAACTCATCGCTAAATTTGATAAATAGCGTTTTTAAATTGTAAGCAGTGAGACTGGTAGGGAATTCCACTATTTTATGGCTCTATAAATTACAGTTTGACACTGTTAGTTTTTGCTCTTTGAAATAATTTTTTTTCGTATATCTTGTACATCAGTTCAGCCTTTAGCCATTCAAATTGATGCATTTTATTGATGGTGGTTCCATATGGACATTGGTGCACATCTTCTTATTACTGATAAGACTTTCCCATTTTTAAATTATGTTCTCAATATGTTTTGACCATAATAATCTGTTGTCAACTGTAACACCTGAGAGTTGCACCTCTTGAACTTGTACTGCTTCTTCTTTGCCTATATTTAATGTTAACTTTGGTTCTCCTTTCAGTGATGATTTGGACCAGATTATTATACTTTTTGTTTTCTGTACATTCAGTATAAGTTGATCGTCTTCAATCCAGTTTACCGCTGTCTTTAACTCTTCATACCAGCACGGTCGAAAGATGCTTTACTGTCTCGGCTGCTGCATACAGAGTAGTGTCCTCACACTGTATGACTCACTGATATCTATAAACAGGGATTAATGTTTGCCACATAACTAAAAACAGTAGTGGTCATCTTTACGCCTGAATTTTGTTTGTGCTTTTGTCTATTTTATAGATTACAGCATGTGTCTCTCTCTTTCTGTAGCGAGGTGTCTCCCTCGTTGCCATAACAGAGCTGTGTGCCGGCAGCCCAATATCTGTCAGTGCCGGCCGGGTTTCCGTGGGCATCGCTGTGAACTCTCCAGCATCACTCCAGCCCCAAGCGTGTGGTCCTGGACCTCGCAGAGTCAGACAAGTGCTTTAGTGACCGCCATAACAGCACCTGCAGCACCTGTAACTGTCTCACCTGTTACCACTGCCACATATGGCACAGCTGTGGTCACTACAGCAGGACTCAGGAGCCACTCAAACGACTCGGAATCTGATCCCAGGAGGAAGTACTCACTACGCTGGCAGCCTCTTAGGTGAGGTACTTTAATCTATTCCCGTTTTTAGATACAGAGACTTGGAAAGTCAGTTATTGAAAGCCTCTGAAATCGTGCATCATTGTGTATTCACTTTAGATGGTTCCTCAAGGGTTCTGTGGTAAAGACAATGGCTCTATTTACAACCATTTTATGCTTAAAAGTTCTTTGCATGGTGAAATGGTTCTTCAGATTGATGGAGAACGTGCTGTAGATGGTTCCAGATGTAAGTAAAGTAGGTTTCATAGTTTTGATCCTGATCTGTCAGCAAGAATCACATTGAGGCTGACGCATCCGAGGAGCCCAGTTTTCCGTCTTGTTGGAGAGTTTTGACTGGCTGGTTGAGCTGTAGCTGAATGTCCTCTAAAGCCAGACAGACACTGTGTGATTTAGAAATCTTGTTCTCTGGTGACTCTCACTGTACGTTTGAATAGACCATCGTGTTCGGACAAAGCTACGATTTATACACCCAGACTGTACGAAACGCTCCGCCTGACTGACCTGCTACGTGAAGCGTAGACGCTCTGTCTACGGACCGTTATCAATAAAGCTGATTCATCCAGAAAAACAGTTGAGAAACTGAGCTACAGCAGTGCTGCTAACTTGTTCTGAAACTGAAAGTCGGAGATGATGTTCACGAGTAGGAATAGGACGGTTTCTCTACAGCTTATTTTATAAAGACAGTTTTTAAACTCACTGTACTAAAGTTTATACTTCACAATTCAACTTAGTTAAACAGAGTAAAGTCACATAGATGGACTTTGGTAGCAAATGTCGACTTTTTTTTACTTCTGTTTTTCTAGCCTACATGTGTCCACCCGTATTGGGGAAGTGTTTTTCTAGCCTACATGTGTCCACCCGTATTGGGGAAGTGTTTTTCTAGCCTACATGTGTCCACCCGTATTGGGGAAGCGTTTTTCCAGCCTACATGTGTCCACCCGTATTGGGGAAGCGTTTTTCCAGCCAACATGTGTCCACCCGTATTGGGGAAGTGTTTTTCTAGCCTACTTGTGTCCACCCGTATTGGGGAAGTGTTTTTCTAGCCTACATGTGTCCACCCGTATTGGGGAAGTGTTTTCTAGCCTACTGTGTCCACCGTATTGGGGAAGTGTTTTTCTAGCCTACATGTGTCCACCCGTATTGGGGAAGTGTTTTTCTAGCCTACATGTGTCCACCCGTATTGGGGAAGTGTTTTTCTAGCCTACATGTGTCCACCCGTATGGGGAAGTGTTTTTCTAGCCTACTGTGTCCACCTGTATTGGGGAAGTGTTTTTCTAGCCTACTGTGTCCACCTGTATTGGGGAAGCGTTTTTCCAGCCTACATGTGTCCACCCGTATTGGGGAAGTGTTTTTCTAGCCTACATGTGTCCACCCGTATTGGGGAAGCGTTTTTCCAGCCTACATGTGTCCACCCGTATTGGGGAAGTGTTTTTCTAGCCAGCTTAGTTAAACAGAGTAAAGTCACATAGATGGACTTTGGTAGCAAATGTCGACTTTTTTACTTCTGTTTTTCTAGCCTACATGTGTCCACCCGTACTGGGGAAGCAGTTGTGATTGTTTGTATGGTGTAAATATTTCAAGGCAGAATATTTAAGGTGACTAACAAGTTTGTGTCTGACCTCCATGCCGTCAGTAACACTTCCTGTGTGTGGGCAGACACTCCTTCACTGCCAGCTTGAGTCGTTTGTTCATTAGTGCGACAGCTACGGTTTATATCACATGGTATCAGCTGGTATCGGATGTTGGTATCGGTGCATTTTTAAGAGGACAAGTGAATTAGCACAGTATGGTGCCGATACCCGATACCAGTATCAGTATCGATGGATCCTTACCGCTGTTGTCCAGATATTATGTGGGTGGTGTTTCATTTTCAGCACTGCAGTGACACTGAAATGGTAGTGTGTTTGGTAGTGTGTGTGGTGCTGGTACGAGTGTATCAGACAGAACGGTGCTGCCTGGGTTTTTACACACATCAGTGTCACTGCTTGGATGAGAGTGGACTGTCCACCCAAAAATTCTGACAACAGTGTCTCTGTGGTCAGAAATGTGTCTTTAATAAAGGGCTGAGAAAGGAGGCCTGCAAATCACATTGAACTTGATTTAAAGTTTGGACATTCCTATAAAATAGGATATTTCAGTAATGTTGGTGATGCTTATGGAGCTTCATGATTTTGTTACATATTGTTTCCTTTATTAGCTATTGACTCCTGATTAGTAATTGTATTAATTTTATGAATTTCAATCATTTTAAACTGTTCAGTATGGCTGTGCTGCCCAGTCCTGTCTACAGGGGGAGCTCCTCGTCTCCATATAAAACTCTACTGTGCTGTTTGTTCACACTACAGTACAACTGGCTAAATCCAGGCGGTGGCTGGAGAAGGTGTGTGTGTGTATGTGTGTGTGTTTGTGTGTTCATACACTCGCGTTGTGGGGACCTTTCTTCCTTGTGGGGACCCCAAGCTGGTCCCCACAATGTAAATCATTAAATTTTAAGGTGAGGGTAATTTTAAGATTAGGGTTAGGCTAGTAGTAGTTCTGACTAAGGTATGTGTCCAGGAAATGAATGGAAGTGCCCCCCACAATTCACAGAAACAAGATTGTGTGTGTGTTTGCGCCGATTTGGAGACCTTAAATAACCCCCCCCAGATTCTCACACAGCTCCTCCACTCTGAAATGAAAAATAGATCTCTCTGTAAGATCTCTGAGTCGTTTGCCAAGCTGAGATTATCGGAGTAAGACAGAGCGCTCTGACCGAAACTCACACGGATTTATTGTCGTTGGCTCGCGGCGCAAGTCGATGCCGCAACTGAAGCCATTTCCTACTGTGTTCAGGCCGACAGCGAATCCAAAATAAAGGAAAGATTGATGAATCCTGTTGAATTAGAATGAAAAATATCTTCATTTGTTATAATTGGAGACCCAGCTTTCGTCTGAGCCTCTGAACTCGTATTACTGAGGCAGTATACTTTTGGATGATGATGGAGAAATCTGATCTCTGATCAGCGCTTTGATATCCAATACTGTACCTGTCATCTTTTTGCTTGCGCATGCCTCTGCTTTCTCTCTCTCTCCTCCCTCTTTCTTTATCTTCATTCACTCTCACTTGCACACGACTCACTGGACTAGAGAAGGTTGTTTATGATCTTCAGCAGCCGTCATTCCATCACTATTCCCTTCACTTATAAACGAATAAAGCTGCAGACATACAGTGCTAATCAAAGAGATGCACCTGACTGGAGAATATGCTGTATATGTTCCTATTAAGAACCTTCTAGAACCTGTGGTTCTATTTAGCACCAAAAAGTGTTCTCCTATTGTTAGAACCCTTTTTACCCTTGTACTCCTGTATATAATAGCAGAACCTAAATACCATATATAACACTTTCTACATCAATCTGAAGAACCCTTTAGGCATGCAAATGGTTCTACATTCTAAATAGGATCATACCCTTTACTAAAGAACCCTTGAAGAACCATATTTGCTTCTTTAATTATTGGTTGTGCTGTTTTTGAGCCAGCATTCGCAAACATTTAGAACACAATTTGTATCGCTATGGAAACGCTTGTTATACTTATTATCTTTAGAAATAGAACCAAACCCTTAACCTGTGGAATTACACACACACACACACACACACACATATATATATATATATATATATATATATATATATATATATATATATATAACATATACAGCTGCTGTCAGAACAAAACCTTGTATCTTTACTTTTAATGTAAGTCAATGGAACCAGACTTTTTTCCAAGTCATTTTGAGTCGTTTCTTTTGGTCCATTCATCATGAAATTTACACACAATGTAAAGAACAACAGACACAAACTGAAAGAAAAAAAAAATGGAGATACGATGTTTAGTTCCTGACAACAGTGATAAGCACCAATCAGGCATAACATTCTGACCACCTCTTTGTTTCTACGCTCATTGTCCATTTTAACAGCTCCACTTACTATATAGGTGCACTTTGTAGTTCTACAGTTACAGACTGTAGTCCATCTGTTTCTCTGATACTTTGTTAGCCCCCTTTTACCCTGTTCTTCAGTGGTCAGGACCCCCATGGACCCGTCACAGAGCAGGTACTATTTGGGTGGTGGGTCATTCTCAGCACTGCAGTAACACTGACGTGGTGGTGGTGTGTTAGTCAAGTCAAGTCAAGTCAAGTCAAGTCAAATTTATTTATATAGCGCCTTTTACAACAGATGTTGTCACAAAGCAGCTTTACAAAGAATCCGGGTCCCCCAGTGAGAAGCCTTGGCGACAGTGGCAAGGAAAAACTCCCTCAACAGGAGGAAGAAACCTTGAGAGGAACCAGACTCAAAAGGGGAACCCATCCTCCTCTGGTCGACACCGGATAACAGCACAGACACAAAACAGTATAGTGGATACAGTTTAACACCACTGTGCAGTGCGCCGGCCGCATCTCAGGTCAGACCCTCTTAGGACAGGCAGCCGCTCAGCTCAGGGAAAGAGAGGGGGAGGGGGAGGGGGGGGTAGAGGGGAGGGGGGATGAGAGGGACATAGTTAGAGTGTGTGTTGCGCTGGTCTGAGTGGATCAGACACAGCAGTGCTGCTGGAGTTTTTAACTTTTGTGAGCGTTTGCATGCCAGGTGTAGTATGTTATGCGTAGGTAACAAAATATAGCTGTAATTTCTCATCTAATCACTAATATAGCCGACTATGGAGCCAGTAGCCTGAACTGAGCAGCTGCTAGAGGTAGACTAGAGCATGCTGATTTAGCTGCGAATGCTCCAAATGAAAAATGAACAATGGAGTTTGAATGTTACAGGCATAATACGAAAATTATGCTCATAAGCTCCTACATTTTTACCGTAATGGTGTTATATGTTAGCCTATAGCATGTGTGCTGCATACCATATCTCAAGAAGTCAAAGTCACTCAGGTACTCAGGGTGTGTAGAGTCTCGTACAGAGATAGAAAGATCGGGCAGTTCAGTCTATGGACCAACCATAGCTGTTCTGAAG